AAAGTCATGGTTGTCCTCAGTTGATCAGTGAATGTAAACACTCATTCTGACTCTCAGTCCAAGCCTTAACCTGACGACATCACCTGTGGTTATGAACAGCAGCAGGAAGCTGTGTGTGTGTGTGTGTGTGTGTGTGACCTTAAGGTAGAGCAGGACTCAGGTGTGACCTCTTGTGGCTGTAGCTGACACCTCAGAGCGTTACTGTCGTGTCTCTGTTCGAGCACAGGATAAAAAGCACAGGAAATGAAGAGAAGGTCTCCGGTCCAGAGTGAACGTTCACCTACTCACCAGTCTCCACACGGAGAACATCAGATCTTCTAACAGCTGTGGTTCTTCAGGTTCTCCTGCAGGGACTACTGTCAGGATCTGCAGGGTGATGGAAAAAAAACGCCACTGAATTTTGATGAACAAATGTTTGTGAGTCAACAGGAAACAGATTCACCAATAACTGTGCCCCGCCCCCCTGCCATAGCTTTGTGTCCCCTGAGGAGGCCCTGCCCCCAACCTTGTGAACCCCCCCACCCCCACCTCAGATAGATGAACGGTAACCAGGCACATGTGTAGCTGTAGATCCAGGGATTCCTAATCCAGTCCGTGTTTAACTTTTCTCTGTAGCTCAGCATGCAACAGCCAGCGACGATCAATAATTCAGACCAAAGAAAACATATGAAAGATGACACAGTGTGTGCTCGTGCGTGTGCGTGTGATTAACTCCTGGATAATATTGTTGTGACATTTATTAATAAACCACAGTGAAAACAAAGAGAATCTAAAACATGAACAAACATCCGACTGAAGTTGTCGACCGTCGTGTTGATGTTCATTTCTAACTTTGAATTGACTTTCAAACTGTGACAAAATGAAGTTCAAATCTGTTTCATTTGTAGACCACAAACACAAACACGTTAACCCACCTTGTTGACTACATTATAGTGAGGTGAAAAAAAAAAACGATTTACGATCTACGAAAATACAGAAACTGTCTGGTGTCACTGTTTCTACTGTGGACCGTCAAATAAAAACTTCATTTATCATCATCATCATCATCACCATCACCACCATCATCATCTTCATTATCAGCCCACACACTCTCCCACCCAGGACGGTGGATCGATGCTCTCCTGCCGTGTCCCCCTGGGACGTCCAAAGACCTTTGATGTCCACTTGAAGACACCGTTTTTTCCACTCGAGTCAAATCACGGCTTTTTTGTCTTGAAGCTCATTAATCCCAGAGTGACGTCAGCAGCAGCCATCAGGTCGAAACTTTCACTCTGTTCATTAAAGTCGTTCAGGGCTCGTTATTAAAACAGCGCCGTTTACAGTCCAGAGAAACAGTGACGTCATTACGTTCTGGACGTTAGCGCCACCTGCTACAGTACCTGTGTTCTGTGACCGAAGCCCGGTCTTCAGCCACCCGTGAACTCAAACCACCGAGAATAGAAACAACAGTGAATAATTCAGAAACACGGAGGAAACAGCAGCAGCAGCAGCTTCTCCACCAGACTGTGTTTGACCGTGGAGTGGACACCAGACTGACGTACACAGAAGTTTTACTACAGTACAGTACAATACACTACAGTACA